TCTGCCAATTCAAACTCCTTTTCTTAAGCTGCCTCTTGAGATATGTGTTTTCATATTTTTTCTTGCCTGTCATCATGGCTGCCTCCCAGAAAAACAGGGAAAGAAACCGCCGGTAACGACACCTTTCATCATTAGCAGTATTTGTCAAAAAAATAAGAAAAGAAATTCACATGCTGGAAATGGTCATTAATAATGTTAATGTATTGTTTACTTGGTCTGTGCACATTTCCAAATATGGTAGTTAGTGAAAATATGGCCAGAAAATTGATGTCTGACTCTAGCTGATATGGTTTCATCTGATAGGCACATGATAAATGCATCATATAGTTGTTCATATTGTATATCACATGATACAGTCATATGATATGACATGTGATCAATCATGTGATATAGTAGTCATGTGATGTGATCATGTGACAATGTCATGTGGTCTAATTATGTGATATAGATCATGTGATATGTCATGTGGTCTGATCATGTGACATATCATGTGATAGCCATCAAAGATTTTGGCACTTATCTAGTATTTACACCAGAATAGTGTGGCTACTACAATTGCAAAATAGAGTAAGTATTGCATTTCCACATGAAAAATTGAAGAGAAAGAGGGAAAATAATAGAGGAAATTCAATAAAGCTAGAAAATCAAAAAATAAATTAAAATTAAAATTAAAGTAATAAAGTAATGTTAAATATTGGGGTATAATATGCAGGGTCTGTGCACATTTTCCAATATGGTAATCAACATAAATATAGGCAGAAAAATAAATAAAAATTCAAATGATACGTGATAATTTTGATGTACTGTTTACTTCGTCTGTGCAGATTTCCAAGTATGGTAATTAACGAAAATATAGCCAGAAAATTAGAAGAAAAATAATGTACTATTATTGACAATATTGAAATACTATGAACATAGTTTGTGCACATTTTCTAAATGAGAGTAACATTGGAGAAAATGTAGATGGTAATTACTGGTGGTCATAATGTTGCAGGGCTGATTTCAGAGTCCATTTTGCATTTTAAATGAGAAATATTACTATTTTAAATGAAATCATTTATGAAACATGGTAAAAATGAGAAAAAAGCCATTTCTGTAGAAATAGATGGGGCACAGTAAAGTACTGGCAGTTGTGATGGGGTTCAAGAAAGAAATTCAATATGTCACTATAGTCAACAAAGACAAATACATCACATATACATTTACATGAAACATCAGACTCTGACAATCCTCAGAACTCTCCAGTGCTCAGGAACATACCTCTATGGGAGTGAGAAAATAGAGCTAGCATAGTAAATGTAACAATCCCCAGAACTCTCTCTAGTTTTCAGAAACATAGGTTTACTGCAGTGAAGAATATGGCCTGCACATCAGCCAATATTTACCTCTGGTAATTTGCATGAATAATAGACAACAGTAATGATTCAGTAACTAGGGCTAGTCTATTATAGGCAATCACCAATATAAACTCAATATAAGAGCAGTCAGTAAAAACCTTTATTATCTGATGAAGCATAATTTAGAGGCTATAACTATATAACAAATAGCTGAATACCAATAGATACAGTTGCATGCAATATATAATCTGCTGTTTCTATAATAAAAATACAATATAAAAGTTAAAGGGCAAGTTTAGGACCAAAATTATCTTTATGATAAATTTTGTAGAAAAGTTGAATCCAGAAGATAAAAGTTTGAATGGTCAGAAATTTTTGAAGTTTTTTTTTTTTGAAACTAGGACCCCAGATACTCCATGACACTGGCAGGAAATTTTTTGCCTGTGTGACATGGCTAAAACATTTCCGAGCAGTGTGACATGGTCAAAAGATTTTTCAGCAGTGTGACATGGCTCAAACATTTCTTAGCAGTGTGACATGACCAAAAGATTTTTCAGCAGTGTGACATAGCTAAAACATTTCTGACCAGTCTGAAACACTTCAAATATTTCTGACCACTCTAACATGCTTCAAACATTTCCGACCAGTCTGAAACACTTCAAATATTTCCTACCACTCTAACATGCTTCAAACATTTCCAACCACTTTCAGATGGCTAGGATATTTTTCAATGCAATATATCAACCCAAATATTTCCAGTCACAATATTGAAGGTCAAACATTTTTGCCCAATGCAATAATATATTTTCCTCCAGAGGCAAAAAAATAAACGGCCAAGGAACCTATTAGCCTGGATATATACCTATATGTTTCAAGGCTAATAGCTTGTTCAAGGTGGGTGACTGAAGTGTTTAAGTCAGTAATTTGTGCAGCTGAAATAACAGTAGTAGGCCACTTATGCACTTATGAAGGCAGAAAACCGGAAACTGAAAGAATGAAAGTTATAGATCTTTGGGGACCTTGTAAAGACCTACATGATGTCAGGGCTTTTCTAGGAACTGTAGGGGTCTGCAGAAA